AGGAGTCATACACTACTTGGGGTAATGCATCATGTTTTTCCCCCTGGAACTTAAAACAAATACTATCCCGGGTGTAGGCACTGACCCTCTTTCAATCACAATTAATGACAACTGGGTGTGCCGCCAACCAATCCATCCCGAGGATAACATCAAACTCCGACATATCCATTACCTTAAGGTCTACGGTAAGTAGAATCCCCGAGATATCTAACTCACAACCCCGACATATCTGATCAACACTCACCCTAGTTCCTAGGAGAGAACTCACATGCAATGGCTCTTCCAAGGTTTCAACCTCTAAGCCTAGATCTCTCACACATGATACAACAATAAACGAATGAGATGCAGCAGAGTCAAATAATACTCTTGCTCATAAGCGAGAGAGTAAAAATGTACCCTGAATGACCGACTAATCCACCGGCTCAGTATGAGGTGTGATGGCATAAACACGCCCCTGGGTCCCTAAAGTCCCGACTTGTGAGCCGTGTCCTCGACCTCGACCCATGTTGTGGCCTGATTGCGGAGTCCCTGCTCGTGAAGTGGTAGGGGTCTGTGCAACACCCTAGAACTAGTACTGACTTCCCCGCCCCAAGGTGGGGTAAGGAGGAACAAGGTGCGACTGTGTATAACCCACCGAAGATTGAGACTAGGAAGCCCCATAGCTCTATGATCCCTGTCACTGAGGATAATCCCACTTCATATGCCCTGGTTGGTGGCAAATGAAACATGTCCTTTGACTTACCTGGTAGGAAGACCTTTGATTTCCCCCGCCTTAGGAGGATTGACCTTGGTCTTAGCCTTGATAGCCACGGCCCTGTGGAGTCGAAGTCCTTTGCTTCTTCCCTGAACTTGAAGAAGATTGGCCCTCCTTCTTCTTGTCTTTACCACCCACTTTTCGGATGATCCGTCTGTCCTCAACCTCTCTCTCAATAGTCATAGCTGTTGTGACTATCGAATCCAAGTTTTGCAGGCAGTGGCCCATAATTTTATCCCGGATGAATAATTTCAAACCATCCTCGAACTTCCTCACCTTGGCCATATCTGTGGCCACATAGTCATCAGCTTTGCCACATACTCCATCACCATCATCGTCCCTTGTTTCAAATTCAAGAGGTCTCGGGTCTTTACATGTCTCGCAGCCGTTGGAAAATATTTACCCATGAAGAGCTCCCGAAACTCTACCCATGTCATTAACTCTAAGTTCCTTGAGTCATTTACCCAATCCCACCACAATTGGAATTCTCCCTCAAGCTGAAACGTAGCTAGCGTTATCTTAGTGGCATCGGAGGTGATCTTCATGGCTCTTAAGATCTTGTCGACTTGTCGAAACCAATGGTCAGCCACCATCGGATCTGCTCCTCCCACAAAAATTGGCGGCTGGTGTGCATTAAACTTCTGAAGGTTACTTGAGCCTCCTTGGCCCACATTTGCACTAGTCTGTGCAATAGTAGTAGCTATACCACTAGCCTATGCAATGGTAACAGCCTCCACACCAATAACCTCCCCAAAGGCTTGATGGTCAAAGGCCGGTGGTGGTTGATCATTGTTCCGCCCATCGCCTCGACGTCCTCTTTCTCTATTTTTTATCTACACACATGTAAGATAGCAATAGAGCCTCACATATTATCCCAAGATAGGGATCAAGTTTAAACTTTGAGATTTCTCTCCTTACCTCCCTAGTAGTGTGTGTGCCACCTACTAATAGACATCTACACCTTGAACTATTCCGTTCATCCCTTATTCCGAACCCTAAAGTTTTGTTTTCTAACCCTAGTGTTCTTTCTTTCCATATATATCTCACCATGCATATAATTCACATAACACATAGCACATAACATGTAGCAATTTAAGCACATAACATGAAATGTACAATGAATGCAATGGTCTAAACTCATGCTCAAAAGCCCTACATAAATCGTATACCTATACTCTGATACCAAGCTGTGACGCCCCTAAAATCAGGGGTCATTTATTAACCGTTGACCAACTGTCAACCCATGAAAATACCCGTGGTAATCGCACAACTCGAGTCCACGCTAATAACATCCCTTTTTACTGGGATTTCAACCCACACGTAAAACCCTTTGTTCATTTTATCCTTTGATCCAACTGTGGTGCAATGTACTATAATTCATATTCCATTATAGTTCATTTATATCCTTGGAATCCAAGAACTCATAGCTCAAAAGCTTGGCAGAGTAGTTTTAAAATTTCAAAATTTTGGAAAGAGTACCGGTACTGTGAGCCTGCTGGAAAATCAGTACCGGTACGCTGTACCAATACGCTTTGCCTTCTGGACCAGACTGTACCGGTACTGTTAACCCACTGGAAAATCTATACCGGTACCGTTAACTCACTGGACCCCGTGGTACCAGTACTCTTTGCCCACTTTTGCTCATTTCACCTACTTCTCATTTACAATCCATTCCAATCTATTCCAATACCATTCAAAACATGCTTAATTAGGTTTTTCACATAAAACCTAATATATACAAGGTCTATTTCAATTTATTCCATATGATTACAAGCCTAAAAATATAATTTTCACAAAAATTATACAACGACTTTACAAAAATGAATTTAAGCCACAAGTCGGCATTTCTTCATCATTGAGGCCCCGAACGTGAGCCATTCACCGAAATGTATTCTGTACCTGAAATGTTTTCCCGTATAGGGTGAGCCACGCCCAGTAGAATATTTCCTACAGAGGCTATTCCCCTCCCTAAGTTCATATAAAATGTATACATGCAACAATCAACAATCATAATTTATTCCATACAAGAACATGTCATTCAAGATAAAAAATTTTACTATGTCATATCATGATATGAGGTGACACTCACTCATACACCTTAATCCTGAGTCCTCACCGACTTTCACATCACAATGAAATGCACATGTGAAGTAAATCTATCATTGATGAATTTCATCCAATGATCATTTTGAAATAAAGATCATGTATTTAAAAAACCAAATCTTGTTGGATGATATACATCGAATGACCATTTGTAAAACAAAATCATATGTCTTTGTTGGGTATCAGATTTTGGAATCACACCTCTGGCTCCGTATGCCATTACACTTTTCTGGAATTTCACCACCAAAAAGTATATAAACCATGTGGTCGGGTCTTGCACCCGAGGGACAATCTAGCCCTTCTTGCTATACCCGACACAAGTTTTTATTTCATTCAACCATGCGACCTAATCGGATCTTCAATTCAACTTTCTCGAGCCCACCCATCAATCACCAAGTATGGTGTTTGATGCAATCATGTACACCCACACCCACACTCATGCCCATGGATGTGTTTCTCCCTTGCAAATGCAATGTAATGATCCATTACACTATCAATGTTATGCTCCATATGTAATGAATGTCATAAGAGCAACTAAACCTCATATTCACAAGTTCTATGACAATTTATATCATAAGCATATAAATACCACAATTTATCATGATGTTAAGATATTAATAACATGTACCAATTCATTTAACAATTTACAAGCTTGTTATACATAATTCATGTCATAACAACTAAATTCTCACATAGGCATTTAGCAAAACACCTACAAGGCAAACAATTCATGTTATCAAACAAATTTGCCCACATCACAATAAGGCACAATAGAAATACATAGTATGCCCAATAATATCAAGTTTCAAGGGATTACACAAATGAATTCCCTATGCCAAACTCAACTAGGATCTAGTCTAGGCCAATTCCATACCTATTTCCTCATTTCAATAACCATAGTCAAGTAACCTAGGTTATTATATACTTTTAACCCACTCCATAGAACATTCTAGGTAAGAATGAACCAAAGTAGGAGGAACCATACCTCTTGTAGCATAAAACGAAATGGAGAAAGTTTCAAGACACTTCCCTAGCCCCAAAACTCTTGATTTCACAAAATCTCTCCCTTGGATCTTCAGTGAAATCCTTAGTTCTTAATACGTAGACGTAGCCCTCGTCGCGGTGATCAACTTTAACTCTTGGTCTGAGTGATTCTGACCGACGGAACTCCGTAGATTGTTAGGAGAAAGGTAAAAATTTATGTTTTCTTTTCTTCTCTTTCTCTTCTCCTCTTCCAATGTGAACCAGCAGACTTGGGGAGAGAAATATCTAAATAATCAAATATTTAGCCTCTTTTTATACTTTTTAATTGCGCGGTCCACATTGCGTTGCACGTTTCCTACTTCTGGGTCTGTTTTTATCTAAAAATGACTTAATTTTGTCCCGATTTAAGTTCAAATTAATTTTATTTGAACTTTTCTTCAATTATAAGGCATGGTCCTCCTCGGTTGCTCACTCTCCTCCGACCCAAAAAAAAAAAAAAACCCTAGACTTCAAACTATGACTGTTCAAGGGCAGTCCAATAATCAGCTTGTCTGACCTTAGAGTAATGTAGTACCATCCCTGATGGGGAGTAAGGTTCTCCAAAATCACATATGATGCCAAGAACTCCTCAAAAGGGGGAGAAATATCCTCACCATGAACCAGTCACTATAATGAAAAGAACACCAAAGCATCTTCTAGTCATTCTGAGTCAACCTGCCTAGTGCAAGTGACAAATGACCCAAAACCCAAAAAATGGGTCTACGTATGGGAAACCTCAGTTATGCTTCTAAGACATTCTCATAGAAAAAACTCTCCCCAGAGGAATCATAACACACTGGCTCATCCTTCTAGGCCCGGCAACATAGAATAGTAGGAGGGAAGATGCAATACTAGTGATATCATTGTCACAATCTATGGAGTTGAAAATCGAAGTTACCTTCGAGCCATCTTTGTCAATAGCTCCCTTACCTCGCTAAGAAGCTTGTGTAGAGTTCACCCTCATACCCTTATCAGGTTAGGTTACTATCAAAATCAAAGCCAATGTGAAAAAGGTTCCAAACTAACGAAAGAATTAAGGGATGAGTGCAATCGTCTTACCTAGTTGAAAGGCGTCACACTCTCCCTCCTTAACAAAGCCTAGGACTCTACCTCCGCTGCTCTACATACTGACGTTAGCCCACCGTTCTCCACCGACACCAGTCAATTGCACACCATTGCCCAACACCCCAACGTCATTGCCTAGCTCCCTACCTGTGCTGGTACCTAGCTCCCCAACACCGTCACCTACACCAGCGTCATCCATGGAGTCGCCTATGGTAATGCCACTTTTGCCTAATACTCTAATGCCTCCCTGTCTACCTCTTGCGTCATTGGTGCCACTCTGCCTACCATCGATGTTGCCCAGGCCAGCATCGCCTTTGCCCAACATTTCGATGTCGCCTTGTATGCCTCCTACATCACTGGCGCCACATTGCCTACCTCCGACGTCACCTTACCTAGTGCCCATCGCATCCCTATTGTTGATGTTGCCCTCTCCATTGGCCATGGTGCCGCCCATGGTGTTGCCCATAGCGCTGCCCATGGTGTATCCCATGGTTTCACCTAGCGTTGCCCATGGTTTGGCCAAGGTGCTTGAGCCATTGTCCACGACTTCACCCATGGTCCTTCTTTGTGACGTCTTCCCTCTAACATCCACGTTTCCTCTTCTTCATCGACCTTTATAAACAAAAGAAATGAAGGGCACCTCCGAGCTTTAGCCAAGAAAAAGGATTTTGAGAAAAGAAGATGGAATGAGGATGGCTCACTCATGGGTTTACGTATATGACCCTCTAAAAACACTAAGTTTGAAGCTGTGAAGGAAAAAGGGGTTTTCTCTACTATAAAGGGGTGGATTTTTTTTTTTTCAAATCCAATGGAAGAACCATCGAATGGGGTTTGTCTGTTAGCACAATGGGTGCGATCATACTAGCAATAATGTTGCCAAATGAGGAAAAAAGCTTCAAAAATGTAATAGAGTGGAAAGCTAAGGAAATCGTATGGAACAAGATATCTGGTCTACCCAAATGTGGGAGCACACTTATGCCTTTAACCCCTATCACCACTTGGGTTTTGGGTATGGAGGGTAAATGACGAGCCCAGATCCAACTGGGCTTGGGCCTAGTCTATGGGTTAAGCCCAAATCATCTAGGCTTAGCTCATGACCTCAATCCAGTCTAAAAATCAATGCACGTAGGAGAGCAATTATCGGGATAACCATTACTCTAAGATAGTGCATGTCCTCAATTATAGCTATCATCCCCGGTACACTAGTAGTTTTACCTTCACGACACCACCACAATCACAATTAGGGCTTAATGCCTATAAATTGTAAACCCCTTACACAAGGTATGGACATTATACCTTGAGCGTACTCTTGCTATCTCTCTCTTCCAATGTTTTAAAATATGGCCTGACCTAGTGGGTTGAACCGGTAAATCAGTGTCGGTGCCTAAACTGGGCCGGTTCACTAATTAGATCGTTTATGTCACAAAATCAGTGTAAACCCGCTGAACCGACTTAAAATCGATGAATCCACTAAACTCGGACGAATTTTAAAAAACTAGCCGGATTGATGCTAATAGTATAAATACAAGTGTTGTGGGGAAAATGGGTATTTTTTGCCCTAAATTGTTTCGGATTTCTCTCTTCTCACAGAAGACATGAACGACTGAGGTCGACAATGACCTTTTCACTCTTAGACTCTCTCTCTCTCTCTGAGTTTTCTTCTTTGTGCTACAAGCCAGCATCAGTTGAACTTGAAGTAGAAGGTGAAGTTTGAACTTCAAAGCAACAAACCTTAGATGTCAAGGCAGGAGCTCTATCATTGACAACGACTCCTTCCCTCAAGTTTGAAACACTAGTAGGCATAAGGTATTATTTTCGATTATCTCCCTTCTCTGTCTAGTCTGGTCTGATTTAAGTCTCTTTGAATAAATTTTTATTCAGTTATGATTTGATTTTGTTGAATTTGGTTATGATTTTGATTAAGTTGCATATTGAATCTGATTGTGGTTTGGATTATGTTGCATATTGAATCTGACTATGCTCATGTTCGTTATAATGTAATTTTATTGCAAGCCTATTTGTTATAGTAAAAGTTTCTGATTGTTGTGATTTACAAGTTTGTATTGAAAATTGAATAGATTAGATACATGGTTGATGATTTTGGGGTTTTTTTTATTTAATATATACATGAAGGATGTTATTTTCATAACATTTTCCATAATTATTGTAATTTTTAACCTATTTATAATTTTTTTAATTATACAACCGGTTCAACCAGTGACCCACTAGTTGAACCAATAAACCATTAACCCGGTCCCTTTGCCGAGTTGATGTCCGGGGCGGGTTTTAAAACTACACTCTCTCCTTTGGTACTTTGTACTTTCTCATTAATAGAGTTCTCCGGCCACTGTTGCCGTCTGCAATGGTTAGGTTACCTAGACCCAACCATCCAATCTTTGTCTCCTATTATTAATTACCTTACATCTCACACATGTGACTGATTTAATCGTGCGTAATCGACTTTATGGATCATCAAGTTGTTTGGTGGGAAAATTTGTGTGGGCCAAATGCATCACTCTAAACTTCCACATCTTGGGAAATGGCAACATCCCATTCAATTATATTTAGACCAAATCAACCCTGTATGTATAGGATATTATTGGTTAAATGTTGTGCTTATTCAGTGGATTTGGCATGATGTAGCTACCAAATGGAGTTACCTCAACAGCTATCTGGTCTCCAATTTGTGCAAAAAAGACACGGACATTAAGGCAATGAAAGAGCTGCAAAAACAGTGTTGGAACTTCAAGCTCTTGTGTGCTTAGTTCATCCAATTTTGGGATTCTTTATTTTTTTTTACCTAATCAACAACTTATTTCCTCAAAATTTGAACAATTAGTCTCTTTATGTAACTTGCACAAGCTTACTATTAAATGTGTTTAATACTATACTTATTTATATTGTAGAACCACAAACGAGCATGAAAGTTTAGAGATAAACCTTTTTCTTTTTATGAGAATTTGTACATCATATTTGGAAAGGATTGTGACAATGCTAGAAAGGTGTGTGACCCAGCTAATATGGTGGAGGAATTGGAGAGAGAAGAAGGAAACAATAATCTAGTTACATACTCGGACAACTTGAATGCATCCATATCATTTGTGTGGTCAGCTATAACCGAAGATGTGGGAAATGTGACCTTTATGCTACTCAAGATTCACTCATGTTTGAACTCTTACATACTAATAAGATAGATGCTTTGATAATTAAGGTGTAGCTTACTTGGATTTTAATTTAAGATACAAAAAGCATATTCTAATAAACAAAATTAAATATAAAATTATAACAAAAAAATATAAATTGTGAGTTCATGGAGGATAGAATTGGAACAAAAAAAAACCATTAATGGAGTTTAAGACTTCTTAGGAATAAATTACTAAAAGTAGGACTTAATTTTTCTAAGGTAAATATGATAAGTCTTAGTTGTTATTTTAGGGGAAAAACAGAACTTATTGGTAATTTTTCCAAGAAAAAAAAAAGTAAGAGTACGGATGAGATGGTAGTTCAAGGTTTAATGAGTGTTACATCTCTCATTAGTGAGGAAATTAAGGAAGCAACAGCTACGTTTGCCCGTACAATTGGTGTGGACGCTACAGTTCATGACATGAAGAAAAAGATTTATGAAGACTTGATGAAATTACTTGACTTTTCGATGAGTGAGAGGCACAAAGCCTCGAGTGTGTTGGTGCATGATTTTGATTTTATGGATTTTTTTTATCATTCCTGAAGCGGAGAAAACATACTTTGTAAGAGGAATATTAAGAGGTGATTTATGAGTTATAATTGTTTGGTTGATGAACGTATTCGTATTATGTAGGATGATATATGGTAAACAAATATATTATTTCTATATTTCTAATGTCTATGATAGCATATATTAAACATGCTCTTGCCTTTCTAAATGTAATGACAGTTGATGTTATAACAATTCATCAGTTACAACGGCTTGCTGGAGAAAAATGGATTGACAAGAAGTATTCTACTAGATTTTGTAAGCTTAGCTTTTTTTGTGGGAGGAATTTCTTTGAACGTGGTTCTCAATTTGGAAGTGGTCTACCTAATTGACAAATAATATTTTATGTTCAAAATGATTCACGTGCAACGTACATGTGCACCAACTAATATAGATATGCAATTGGGCTGAATTTGCTTATTGTTGATTTACTTTTTTGGGACCATGACAGTTCAGACAAGTTGGGAAACATCTTAAGTAGTAGGATTGAAATGAGACAAAAAAAAAAAGCAATAGGATTGAGAAAACTTATTTGATGTGTAGTGCTCCTATGCTTGAAAAATGGCAATGGAATTGAAAATTGGTAGTAACAACAATCACAGTAAAATTTGGAGAAAGAGAAAAATTGAGGGGGAAAGAGGTTTAGGAGGGAAAGAAGAAGAGAAAAATGAGTAAAAAAAGTTTTGAAGGCAAAAATGAGAGAAAATAGTTCTTGGGATAAGATGAGTATTTTCAAAAAATATTTGAGTCTAAAAAAGGGTTTATGCATTGGAGAGATCCATACCAAATCAAGTTTTTACTCATTTTTTTAACTTAAATTTGGGTAGGTAAGGGTCTCAATTGGAGATGATCTTACAAGCAAAATTTGGCAAACCCAAAAATGTGAACTTATTAATGCTTCATTAACTTCAATCGAAGAAAAATAGGATAGACTAGAAAAGGCCTTAACGAAATAGACCTATTTAGAAAATGTATCATTAACTTCCATAGATGGTACAATTGTCATTGATTGTGTTAACATTGTTTATTTGAAAGCAATATAAAGAGGCTGAAATTTATTTTAGAAATCGCAAGTTTACTCTTACAAATCAATTAAGAAGCTAAATCTCAACATAATCAACTACGTACTGAGAGGTTAAAAGTCCTACAACCTAGAGAACTTCAATTAATAACAAGAAAGTTATATATAACATAATACAATAGACAAAATTTACAATCATTATTAAATCACCCCTACCCAATGTCAGTAATATCAGATAACATGCAAGAAGGTCTTCTAAGTACTTTGAAGCCCCAATGTTCTTCCTTACTCATATTCCTCCTTGTAAAATTAATCTAATTTGTATCTCCATGTCGTGTCTCCATGCTCATAAAATTATATTAGGATATGTTATTTTATGCTTATTTTTGTGGATATAGATTTATATTTGGGTCCAATTGAAAATCTATTATTGAAGCCTCCATGTCTTCAACGGATAATATAAGGAAAGATAATGTTGATTATGTTGAAGAAAGTTCTTCCGCTACTGAAAAATAAGGAAGAAAGCCTTATTCTATACTTTGGAATATTTTTAAGAAGTTACTTGTCAATAGTGAAGAGAGAAAAATGCTAAATGTACAAAGTGTGACCAAAAGTATATGACAAACACGAAGTCCGGAAAATCAAATTTGAAGTGACACCTCAAAACTTGTCATCTTGACCATGACACATTTAAGTTGGCACCACAATTACCTTTCAATCAAGATGTCTATCAAAAGAAGATTTTTGACATCATAATCGAGCATAATTACCCTTTTAGCTTTGTAGAACATGAAGGAATCAA